AAAGTTATGAAAGATTAAGTTCCTACCCCCTCCAGGAACTTAATCTTTCACTTTTTAACAAAGGAATGGGAGCTTTTGTAACAAAGGAATGGGAACTTTTGTTGAAAGATTAGTTTCTGAACTTTTCATGGAAAGTGTGAAACAAACATAGAACTTTTTCAAAATCTGAAAGAATACAAAGAATACTTTCAAAAAAGCAAACACGCCCTAAAGGAGAGAAAAGGGTGGAACTTGGAGAACAAGAGAGAAGATACCTTTGGTTTTTTTTTTGGGTGGGGAGGTGGGGAAGAAAGGAAATCATGGTTAATACACTGGTTTCAACAAGTGTTGTCAAAGCTGAGCAGAACTCTGTTGACATTCAACTATGAGCCACTCAAACTATGGTGTCAAAGCATAATGCACATTTGACTCACCAAGTGATAATCAAACAGCCTTGCCACTCCACAAGTCGTATCAGAGCAACTTGTGTTTCCACATGTTGTATCAAAGTGAGGGCTGATTGATCAATTCTTTATAGTTTTGGAGAACACAATATGAAATGCAGTACATGAGATGAACAGAAAACAACATTCCTGTGAAAAAATGCATCATGTTGTTAATCCACCCTGTACGTAAAAATGAGACCTCTAAGTGTTACAGCCTGTACCAATGCTCTTTAAATCAAACTTGGATTAGGACTGAGCATCTCATGGAGTCTACTTGGGTGAGTCGGATAAGACTCGCCACAACTCAGGTTACTGAGATGAGCCAACTTGGGTATCTCCCAAGTCAATTGGGCAAGTTCTTAATCTCCAATAGTGTTCATAATCAGCTTAGAATCATTAAATTACTATATCTTCTCCAATGCCAAAGCTACAATGAATGAGTTTCCCAGGTATAAAACATTTTAATCATTTGGATCCATTTCTGGCTTCATGTTATCCTCATCAGAACTTTCATGTTTAACCCATGAGACGTAAATAACCTTCTATATCTGTTATAGCAAAATTAAAACTTCTATGGAATCACTACTCCACATTCAATTACAAAAAATAGCAAATTTAATTCCACCAGAAAATTTGCGTATCTACTCCTAAAATTTTGCATAAATTTGATAGCCTGAGTCCCCAATTGAGTTATGTAGCTTGGCCAATCAAGAGGAAGTTTGGGGGACCTACTACGTAGATAGCATCGCATCAAGGTTTTAAGATAAACACATTATAATTGTCTTCAACCAAGAAAAGTTTGAACATATAACTTATATAAATAGACTTACCTTGTGTATTTCACAAATCTCACGGTTAGAGAACTGTTATCCGAAACCATTCCCAAAGATATTATGAGAGCTCACACACATATGTTCTGTGCAAAATGAAAAACACTACAGGCACATCTGTAATTGGAAGCCACCGGATCCGTGGAACCTGGAAAATCGAGTTCTCTGGAACTGTTGATATTTGGAAGTTCTGGAATAGTTTTTGGATAACCTGTCTGACAGAGATCAGGCTTCACAATGATCTAACAAAGCTTCATAATGATTAGGCTTCATTACTTTAAAGAGAGCTAAAGATAGAAGAGAGAAACAAAGAAAGGGGTTACAGAGGTAGGACTTACACAAAGATACAGAAAGGACACAATACAAGAGAGAAAGAGCTTAGCGAGAGAAAAGACACATTTAGAGACAGAAGGCATAGTTAGAGAAAGATGACTTAGAGAAAAAGGACATTCAAAGAGGGAAAGGGTGAGAGAATGAGTGAGAGAAAAGGCACAATTGGAGAGAGGACTTAAAAAGAGAGGAGCTAGAGGACATTATTATAGAGAGGAGTAAGAGAGAGAGAAAGTAGTTAGAGAGATAAAAAATGCATGGTTAGAGAGGGCATTCAGATAGAGAATAAAAACATGAGTAGAAAGAAAGGGCATGGTTAAAAAGAGTTAGAGAGATAAAGGTGTTAGAGAGAGCACAAATAAAGAGAGACAGTAAGAGCAAGATTATAGAGAAGGGAACAATTCAAGAGAGAGGAATTAGAGAGAAAGGGAATGGTTTGGGAGAGAAAGGGTATAGTTTGAGAGGACAAGGACTAGAAGCCAAAAAAGGCAAGAAGCACAGATTCGAAAAAACGGGATGAGAGAACACTAATGTGGGGAAGGAAGCTGCACGCTCTCATTTATTAAGAACCAAGAACTACCTAAAGCCATTTGTTACAGCACTTCATTAACTAATAAGGAAGTGCTACAATAAATTGGATAGTTTCTAGAGCTGGAAGTTCCCATAAGTGCCCAAAAGCAAAAATGACAAGGATCTTATGCAATAAACGTTTTATTTATGCAACAGAACCAACATATCGAACAAGTCACACACTCATATTATGAACTAGGAGTCCAACTTGCAACAAAGTTGTCAAAAGAGTTATCGAGTAACAACATCATAATATTAAAACCAACAAATTCAGAGCAATGAAGAACCAGGAAGCTTTGAAGATGCCTCTTTGTCAGTAAACCAAACGAGTTCCCCATGGACGGGTGAGACCATTTGCACCGGCAGCAGATCAGAGTGTTGTTCATCACATAGAACCCTCTTCATCATATCAGCCTTTCCAGCACCAACAATAACAAGCGCAATATTTGAAGCTGAGTTGATAACTGGGAAGGTAAAAGTTATTCGTTCTGGTGGTGGTTTTGGGGAGTCCTTTATATATGTAACCCATCGTTGGTTCTCATGGATAAGATGATGTCCAGGGAAAAGAGATGCTACATGACCATCAGGACCCATCCCTAAGAGCATGAGGTCAAAATTGGGGAAGGAAGTGACTGCTGAGATGTCCACTACCCCTGAATGGACAAGTTGCTTAAGACCAGTCTCATAATCGTCAGCGGCATCCTCTGGAGATAGTGAATCATTGATAGCATAAACATGACCAGGAGGAATTGGAACCTGAAAAACAAGTATCCAAAAGCCTTTACAGATAATAACGAAGTAAGCATGAATAGGCTCCACAAATAAAATAAATAAGTAAAAAAAAGAAAGACAAAAATCTTTACAGCACGGACAGATCTTAGAACGTGGGTGTGACTAAGAGCTGCAAGCATCCGGGTTAATGGCCCAAAAATTATTATGGAATCCCGACCTGAATGTTGTAATGGAAAGAGTGCAAAAGTTTAAAAATTAAATGTGCGGTACTTCATAGAATACCTAAAAAACAGAAAGCAAGAAGAAGGTGATTTACACACAGAGAGGTCACTGCTGGGAGGCATGCATAAGATAACAGAATCCAGAAGCTGTCTTGTTATAACCTAATCTATTATCTATATATAAAACAAGGTCTTGCACGTGTGCAAATCTTGCAATTGACTTGGCTTCTAAATTAAGTTGATATGATTTATATTTTGTGCAAAAGCAATACGATCTCCTAGTTATTTGGAGTTCTAGACAATTTTTATCAATTTTTTCCTCCCTCGTCGCATGTGTTCTATAACCTAAATGAAAAAGCATACTTCAATTCTACAATTTATACAGCACTTGCTACAAAGTGAAAAACACCTCAAGCCTGACTACTCAATCCCAGAACCTGGATACAAAAGAGAAGGTTCCTGAATAAAAACCAAGGAGTATGCACAGAGATGCAGCTGAACTGATCTAATTTTGAACATATTGTTTAAAGTTTTGGGACTCCAACTCGGCCTGGCTCAAGCAATGACTGAGTTTGTGGGACTCGACCAAGTCCTGCCGCAGTCTTAATTTATTTTTGAATCAAAATAAAAATTTGGCCAAGTTTTACTGAAATTTAAATCTCATTGAGAGATTAAGTCCAAGTTTTTAGTCCCTGAGACTTCAGTTGACTAGAACACATTTAAAATTAGATTTCAATAAGAAAAACTTCTGCAGAACTACACAATCTAACTTGGATATTAGCTCAGAAAAGAGAAACAAAAGACACACCTTTGAAAGGAAACCATCATAAGCCAGCTTATAGTTACTTTCAGGATGATCTAGGGGAACCACTCTCTCATCCACCCAAAAAATGTGCCATCGTGCCCACTCGACAGAATCAAAAAATGGAGGTTCAACCAGTTTCCTGAGAAACAAATAGCAGCAAAAAAATATGAAATAGCAAAATGAACGGATACAATATCCAGAATTTTTCAAAAGCAAAAAAAAAACACCCTTGTCTATCCAATATGGTGATTTAAGCTCTATAAAAACACAAAAGAAAGTAACCCACAAAGACCAAATCGTTTACCCAAGGCACTTGATGAGGGACCCTCCAGAAAGAACTACAGTAAAAGCTCCTCTTTCTTTGACAATTTTCTCTGACAATTCAGATGTGTATTTTGCCAAAGCCACCATGAGCTCCTCCTCATTTTCAAAGACCAGCAACTTCCCTTTGTCCTTTACAGATGTTGCTTCCCCCATTGCAGCCTGGTTCATCTTTTTCCTTTGTAATTGCTTGGTATTCAATTTGCTTGTGCAAAGGTCTGATGAGAGAGAAAGTGGGTCACTCACAATCGAAAACGGCCTTCTAAAAATGGGGGAGCTAGGGCACGAACGTTGCAGAGAGTGGATTGAGCAGGGCAACACCTGAAAACCAGACTTGATTACACAAGGTTGCATTTTTTGTCTGGTGCTCGATGCCTTTTCAGGTCGCCAGAAAATACCAAAATCCACCCGATTCCGGCAACCCAAAATTCACCGGTAAAAGAGTTGCGTGCAAGTCGTATTGTATAATTGCAGTCGAGTGAGAAAGGATTCTAATAATCAGATTCAGAAATTAGAGAGAGAGACATCTGTAAAGAAAAGAAAGAAAAATCCGAAAACAAGAAATGCGGAGTTATCAAGAAACTCCCGAGAACATAAAAAAAAACAAAAAAACAAAAACTAGGCTTTATACCAAGAGGCACATGAGATGTAAAGAAAATGCTGCTTTCACATGCCGCCCTAAAATCAAAAGCTAAGCTCAATGAATGAACTAAGCTCAATGAATGAAAATAAAGAACCCTAGAGCACACATCTTGATAAGGTGAGGCAGTATTTCAGCCTAAAAGCTACAAAATCCAATACTTGAAGCGAGAAAACATAAACCCTAGAACACACTCGGAATCATGGAGTAGATCGATTTCGTTTAGGGAAACCTACAATTTCAGAACCGTGATCTTGAGGAGGGTGAGTTGAAGAAATGTAGGCTTACCTGATCAAAATCCGAGCTTTTGCGGGTTATTTTCAGGCGGATTGCGGCATGCCAGTACGCCGTCAGAGAGAGTGTATAAGAAGTGCGTATTGGACGCTCGCGTGAGCATACTGTATATTAACTCCTTCGGACATAAAAGGTCAAAACCACCTCATGCGTTAGACGTTGGAGGGCCGAAAAGAGAGAATTTTTCTGGAGTTCGTGAAACCGTGAGATTTCACACGTTGCCGTTAACGTCTTAAAAAGCGGATCAGTGACCCTGGTTATCGATCTGGAAAATTGGTCTACATGGCATATCCATGGTCTCGATCGGTGGATAGGCCAGATCAGCCGTATCCAAACATAAAAAAAAGAAAAAACTTAAAAAGATAATAAATATTATTATAAAGATTATTTTTGAGTTTTCAAATGAAAATGACGATAGTCTATTATGGATTTTCTTCATTTTAAAATACATAAATATTGAGACTCCATTTTCTATATGAGTAGTAAGTTAAAAATCAGTGACCCCATCCAAAATCGGATGATCCGGATCGAAAATCATTATGACCGTCATGGATTTTGTAAAAACTCCGAAAAAAACAAATTTCAAAAAAATATATAGGAAAAAAAGGATACGATTTTTTTTCCTGATTTAAATCGTATTATGAAAAAAACCCGTTTTAAACCGGTTTATGAAAGTTAAGTGATTTTTGGCCAACTTTTTCAAAGAGTCGTCGTTTAAAACTGTTTCCATAAAAACGCCGTATTTTTAAAAAATCATCGATTAAATGGCGATTTGCTAACTATGGTTTTGATAGCCTCTCTCTCTTGCTCTTTTTAGTATTTTTTCTCTATTGCGATATAGCACTAAGCAGTGGTTTAAAAAATGGATCGGTGCTCTAGATCGAGCACCTCAAAAACCCATCCGGATCTGTGAATCGGCGATCCAGATCGGACATCGGCTGAATCGATAAGATTAAGCCTTAAGAAAAATCTAAAAAAATTATCAAAATTCATTATAAATGTTATTTTTTTGGAATCCAATAAAAAATGGGGGTACTACATTGTTAACTTTAATTTTTTTAATCAATATGCGAATATTGAGATGTTCTTTTATTGTAACTTAGGTTAACTATTAAATTTACATCACACAAAAGAAAAATAATATAATTATTATGGATGAAGTATATAAGTATACTGGACTATAATAAAGAATGGATTAAATTGATAAAAAAATGGCCACCAAAATCTCGAATTGACGGAAAACCTTACTCAGCTTAAAAAAACCCAAATTATTACAACCTAACTATAGTATTATATACTAAAATTGAAATTGTTGGTTTATATTTTATAGTCTATTTTATTATACAAATAATAACAAATCCAAAATATCTTATAATATCATTTAATTTAAAATGTATTATTGATAACTAGAAGAAAAAATAGTATATCATATAATTTATATTGCGAATAAATTTAAAAAATAAAATAAAAGATTTAGTTATCAATGTAAAACTAAATTCTAAAGTGGTTTGAGTTAGTGTTATTTTTCTCTCTTAAAATATCCTCTAAACTAATATTTTTTAATATTTAATAAACTAGAATTAGTATTATTTTTGTTTTTTAATATCCTATGAGCTAGTACTAAGTTTTAATCTCATGATATAATAGCCTAATAGAATTTTTATGTTTTATTTGGGTACGTAATTTTAGATTTTTGTTGTTGAAGATAGGGGTGATGAGCACCCAATTATTATTATTACTAATTTTTCATTTTTTATCGTATAATGTAACTACCACCACCGAGTTGACTCTTTGTTTTTTAAATCCTTAATTATAACTATTAATTATACTATAGTATTATAATATTAAATAAAAACAATTTAAAAATATTAGTAAAAAAATCCATATAATTTAAAAATAATTTAGTGTATATAAAAATAATTATATTGACAAAAAATTAACATAATTATATTTAAATTATTCACATAAACAAACAACAATTGCATATAATTATGTTAATTTTTGTAAATTATTATATAGCATTTTATTTTTGTAATTATATGTAATTAAATATTATATGTACTTTATATTTGTATATCATAATAAATAAATAAATATATAATTAATATTAAAAAATATTATATCTTAAAAATAAATAAAAAGAATTATAGACTATTTCATTTTGTCATAACTTTTATTTTTATGGCTAGAAAATTGAAAGAGCTACCCATCATACCACTACAGCGTATTTGTCTACTTTTATATAACAAACATATATATATATTGCTTTAGCTTCTCAAGTCCGCCTAGCTAATTATCCCACATCGAAACCTATGGAAAAGTATTGTAGTTATAAATTGTTCATGGGTAGTGCATTACCTTGCGTATGTGTGGAAGGCAGGTGCTCCAAGGACGCTATTGTGCGCGTGTGCGTGCGCGCGTCCACTGTCTATGCCCGATTCGGCTAGTTTGCGCATGTTATAATGACATCACGAACCCAGCTAGTTTGCCCCATGAACCCGGTCCACGTGTCTATGCCCGACTCACGTGAAAGTCCACGAACCTAGCTAGTTTGCTCGAACCCAGCTAGTTTGCCTGTGTTAATGACATCACGAACCACAGCTAGTTTGCCCCACGAACCCGGTCAAGTCACAAACCAGCTAGTTTGCCCCACAAACCTGGTCCATGACGTGAAAGTCCACGAACCAGCTAAGCTAGTTTGCCCCACGAACCCGGTCAAGTCACGCGAACTAGCTAAGCTAGTTTGCCCCACGAACCCGACCAAGTCACGAACCAGCTAGTTTGCCCCACAAACGCGGTCCATGACGTGAAAGTCCACGAACCAGCTAGTTTGCCCGTGTTAATACGGTCCATGATGTGAAAGTCGTTCGACTCATCCCTCGTCCGATTTGTTTCTAGGGAAAATTGCAGTTTTACACTAGAATCGACACGGGGTGACCGATTTCTGTGTCGAATCCGACCGACTCCACGAACTAGCTAGTTTGCCCCACGAACCCGGTCCATCAGTCCATGACGTGAAAGCCCATGAACCAGCTAGTTTGCTCGTGTTAATGACGTCACGAACCGGTTCGCCAGCTAGTTTTCCCGTGTTAATGACGTCGCGAACCAGTCCATGACATGAAAGTCCATGACGTGAAAGTCGTGCGACTCGTCTGATTTGGTTTTAGACACGGGCAATTTGCGGTTTTACACTAGAAATGACATTTTACACTAGAATCGACACGGGGTGACCGATTCCTGTGTCGAATCCGGCCGACTCCATGGTGACTCGGGGGTTTTACACTAAAATCGACACGGGGTGACCGATTCCCATGTCGAATCCGGCCGACTCCGTGGTGACTCGAATCCGGCCGACTCCGTGGTGACGCGAATTTTGTAGATCCAAATTTTGGATTCAGCTCTTAAAGTTGGAAATGAATGAAAATTTGGATTGAATTTGGGTATAGGTGAATCCGATCCTGATCTGACCTAAATCCAAACCCATTTTTTTTAAATAGTATATTTTATTTTATATATACATAAATATGAATTATAATTTATATATGAGTAATGATTCAATGAGACCCTCCCACACCCATATGTGTAGGACCTTAAGGGATCACCATTAATTTGACACAAATCTCTAGAAAAGTTAAGTCTCACACCCATGTGTGTAGGACCCTCCCACACCCATATGTGTAGGACCCTAAACAATCACCATAAAATTTGGCACAGATCTCTAGAAAAGTTAAATCTCACACCTATATTAACTTTTCTAGAGATTTATGACAAATGTAAAGGTGATCCTTTGGAGTCCTACACACATGGGTGTGGGAGGGTCCTATAGGATCATTACTCATATATAATATAAGAGTGATGATCCTATAAGACCCTCCCTCACCTATATGTGTAGGACCTCAAAGAATCATTATTAAAGTTGGCATGGATATTTAAAAAAGTTATCACATGAGTATAAGACTTGACTTTTCTATAGATCCGTACCAAATTTAATGGTGATCTTTTGAGACCATACATATAGGTAAAAAAAAGTCCTATAGGATCATTTCTCATAATTATAAATTATAATTTAAAATTTTAAAATACTTGATGTAATAATCCTAAAATTTCAAAAAAAAAGAAAAAAAAAAAAAAAACTTTAATAAGTGATGGTCCATATTAGCATGATGGTCCTTAGGGACCATCACTACTTTCAAAAGCTTTTGGTTTAAGTTTTTGCTGCCTTGCCACGTCCTTTAGTGGACGTGGGCTTTAAACGTTCAGGTGCAATATAA